CAGAACTGATGTCCCCCAATCACCCCGGCTTTCCTAGACTACAGGACAATGGGGCCTGGGTTGGTGTTTTAAGCCCTCCATACCTAACAACATGCGACTTTTCAAAAAGGAAGTCTAGAAATGTGATCCCACTTATTTTCACACCTCAGTTGTTCTCCCAGCCCTTTCCTGCACACAATCTCATCTGACCAGCATGAAAACCCTGACCATACATTTCATTGGTTCCTTGAAAATTACAGAGTTTCCAGAGTCAACCTGTTTAAACAAAATACCCCAAGCAAGGGATAGCACCTTACACTTTAATTGGTTTACACCTTGGTAGTAGTTGGCAAATGGCTGAGAACTCAGCTCTGAGAAGTAGAAAACAGGACTTGGGGCTGAAAGAGGAAAGAATGGGAGAGAAAGGGGTGGAGATGCTCTCATGCCCTCCAGCAGCTCACCTCACAGTTTTCGGTTTCTGATCGAGCCCTTTCCTACTGCCCACCTCCCTCTACCCTCCCTGCCACCAGCAGAGACCAACTTCACCCACGAGAGCCAGAGGGAGAGGGGAAAACAAGAAAAAGAGAAGTGACAGGAGAGAGGGGGAAGAAAAGATGGAATAAACCAATCATCAGAGGCTCTTCGATCTTAATTCATTTTATTCTACAAAATGCTACTCAACTCAAAATGGAGAAGCTAACAACAACAACAACAAAATCGCGAGGGGGAAAAAGTTTTAATATGTTCTTTCTTCCATAGCAGCAAGCTTTTTCTAACAAGCTTTCTTTAGTGCAAATACTGTAGGCTTGTATTACATACAGTAAAACAACAAAACAAAACAACAACAATAAGAAAACACCACCAGAGATGCTTCAGAACAGAGCTACTCCTCAATTTTCAAAATTATACAAAGATTTTTGAGCTCAGGGTTCTGCCTGGAGAGATCTATTTAGGAGATGCTCCAATGGGACCATCTTACCACTACTTAAAAAAAAAAAAAAACCCAAACAGAAAAAAGGTGCCCAGAAAGGTAATCAAATCCCCCAAAGAGCTATAGAAACCTTGTACAACTCGTGTGCCTCCAGAATCTTATGGCAGACTTCACTCCACATCATCGATTTATCTCAAATACAAATGCACAAACTTTGTGATTTTCCACTATACACCAAAATACTATATATACATCTCCTACTGCAGAAAAGACACCCTGATACCTATTCTTTGTACAAAGTCAAAGATTTTCTTCCTCAAAATCAAGTAAACACAAACTAAAATAAATGGAATCAACTTTTAATCATACAGAGAAAAAACAACTTTTCAGAAACAGGATGGTATCTTTTGTTGAGTTCTCTTACAATGTAGATTTCTTGGTGACCATTGTCCCCAGAGGAATGACAATCCATCTTCAGACACAAAACCTTTTTATACAGTTTATACAGCGCAAGTCACCAATCACTTTAGAAAAAAAGAAAAAGCATCATTATCCTAATTTTTTTTTTTTTTAAAGGAAGCAAGAGAGAGGAACCGAGTATTTTAATGCTATCGGTTTCTATTCAGGCTTGATACAACGCAAAAAAAGATGTAAACATTTAAAATAAATAATAAAATAAATGTCAATTCCTTCTCCCTCTCCCTTTCTTATACCCCCCCCTCAAAATTTGATCTGGCGCCTCCTGAACATGTTATCAGCATTGGAAAATTAAAATCCATTCTTGCGTATGGCCGAAACACAGGAAGCGTAAGAAGATGCCACGTTAGTAGCGGGATGACTAGGTTTCCTTTAAAAAGCTATAGGAGGACACAGCACACCTGAAAATGTATACATACATGTGCACATGCACACACACACACATACACACACACCCCAACCTGTCAATAAATAGTGAGATGCTGGCTTTTAAGATGAATGCCAAAAAGACTCAACAAGCAGAAAGTAGCAACACCCCTTAAGTTTTTTAAAGAAAGTTATACACACCACATATCCTATTGGTCTACAAATTCTATAAGTACTCAGGTTACTCTTCCAACCAGCTGAGAAGTGCACAGGAGCAAGTGGTGGGATAGAAGTTTGGAGATGTATTGCAGAGGGTGGGTCTTTGAGAACAAACATTAGGCTGAAGGCAATCTTACCTCCAATCTTTGCAGAAAGACCTCACCTGCAAGTGTTTTTATCTATCCATTACTTGGAGACCTTTTATAAAGGGATGCCCTCATCCCTTAGTCTCATCCTGAAGAGGAGATATATATACTTTAATACAGTGCCCAGCACATAGTAACATAGTAGCTGCTGCTGCTGCTGCTTTTTCTTCCTAAAGGGGTCAGAAAGATAATGTCTGATCAGGGAAGGAAATCAACCTGAAACGGAAATGGTGAGATTGCAAGGAGCACTGTTGGTCCATCAACGAAAAGAGAGCAAACAGTCCTGATGGTCCAGACCATTCGACTCGTCCTTACACTTGGGGTCATGTGGGAGCAGGGGGAGACTCCTTTCCCCAAAGCCTGAGAAAGAGAAGCAGCCTCCCTGAGCTCTTGGCTTTGAGATGCCTTTGTGACTGGCCACAGTGGCTACCCCTGGCCTCTATCACAGACAGGACAATGTTTGACTCTTTCTAAAAGCCTCCTGATGAATTCTCTCCTTGGAGCTGATGCCAGCAATTCCCTAAGCTTCACCTGAGACCTCCTCTCCTTTCTGTGTTAGCAGTTGTCCCTATCCACCCAGTCTGGGAGACAACTGTTCCCAGCAAGGCCAGCCAGGTGGCCAAGAGCACTGTTTTACACTGGATTAACTGATCAAAGAGTGCCTGCCCGGAGCCATCCCAGGGCTGCCTGCAGCCCAACCAGAGTCCATACCAGCTGCCTCACGGCTAGGAACATAGGGAAGTACAGCAGTTCCTAACCCCAGCACAGAGGCATCTCCACTGCAGCTGCTTCCTTAGCTGAGGCCCTGGAGAAGAAAGCAGCTGGCCAGGTGTTTTTGAACAAGGGTGTGCGTGTGAGAGAGAAAAGAGGATGAACTCGGAGGGCAAGCCAAAAGGAAGTAAACAGAATATATGCTCATGGCTTTAGTGTGAATCTTCAGCCTTCCCCAAATAACCTCTGGCTTTGGGGAAGCCAAACAACCTCCTAGGACCCAGCCAGAGGGTTGTAAAGGGAATGCAGCTTAGAGGCCTCTTAAAATCTATGGATTGGCTAGATTTTTGCCTTCCACTGGTCCCAACACAGCTTGAAATCTGAACCGAAGCCAAGCTCTGTCTCAGGAATGTGCAGTCTGGCTGTAAGTCACAGACTGTGACCCGCATTGGGATAAACGCGACACAAAGTGGGGTATGTAGAAAGGCGGCTTTTAGAAATAAAAGACCAGAAAGCAGCTTCATTTAAGAAATATCTATATACATAAAAAACAGAAGTTCCCACTTGCCTACAAATACCATATGAGATGATTAAGCCTTTCAGAGCTGAGTGCACCCAGGTTTCTTTGCCCATCTCCTGCTATTCCTGGCTAATTCTGTTTCTTTGATTCATCTGAAGCCAGAAATCCAATTGCCTGATCTTCTTAGAAGAGCCCCTCCCAGAGCCGCTGGGGACTGGGAGAGCAGCCTCACAGCCAAGGAATGCGGGGAAATAACGTTTTCAAAGTATTTTGAACAAAATCCTTTTTCTTTTCATCTCCTCTCTCTGCGTGGCCTACCCTTATACATCATGCCAGTCCTGCCGAGCCATATATTTTAAGCATACGGCTATTCCACTCTGCATGTCTAATGCATGAAAGTGGGAAATGGTCATTAAATAATGACCAGCACGTGTGGCCTCAGTGTGAAAGAACAGCTGTGTGAACACGTCACTGTTCTCCCCAGAGTCAGACTTGGAAACTGATCTCTCAAGCCAGCAATGATCTCTAGAGTTGAATCACCAGCAGCGGAGTCTACTGCAGAGCACTAGCCCAGCAGCTGCCAGTGCTGGGCTGGAGCTGCTCCCAGGACACACGTCAAGACCTTGTATGACAGGAAGCTCAGTGGGAGCCACGCCTTAGGGGGAAAGGCTCAGAGTAATGGGAGGCAGGGACCCCTGCTGAGCCAGGCTCTTGCTGTAAGCCAGGGGAACCCCTTCCCCACTCCCCAAAGTGGGAAGGGGGCAGCTCTCCTGCAATGGGAAGCAACACATTTATCTCCAATTTCAGCAGCCGGAAAGATTCAACAGACAACCAGGAATGGCACATTAAGCCACAGCTCAGGCCAGCTGTTCACAGCTTGCTGACTGGGCCAAAAGAGCACACAGGGTTGGGGGTAGGGGAGTGTCAAAGAGAAAACACTTGATCCAGCAGGTGGCAGATGACCACACAGGGCAGGAAAGGCCCAGCCAGGGCTGGGGCTACTGCTGCAAACCACCCCAATGGTGGTGGCACTCTCCTGCCTCCCCTGCCTTCCCATCCCGGGCAAATGTTCCTTTGAGGCTTGGAGAGGGGCGCCCAGCAGCAATCTGGGGAGGGTCCAGGCCCACGCTCATTAAATCTCCATGGGTGGCGTCACCCTGAGAGCCAGGGTGGGGGAAGGGTAGAGCCCAGCAGGGACTTGGAGCCATGTGTGTTTCCTAGGGAGGGTCACCTCCCTCATCTGGAGAGAAGGGTCCAGGGGCAGAATGGTGAGGCAGTAATTACAGGAGACACCCTGCTCAAGACACCAGGTGAGGGGAAGCTGGCTAGGACACCCCTGTGGCTTTGTTGGCACTATTCCTGGCCTGGTAATTAGGCATTTGGCAAACCCAACCAGTGCCCTGCTGTCTCACTCACACCCTGTCTTCTGGCCAAGTTGCTTCTCCAAAAGCCGTCTCCAAGGGTGGGGAAGAAGGGTCCTCTGAGCCTCCCAGTGACAGTGGCATCTCCTTGAGAGCTCAGGGAGCCCTGCTGGTAGTTCTGGAGATGCTGGTGCATTGGGAAATTTCAGGGAAGGGAAGGTTCAGTATTGCACTTGACTGTCCCTTCTGGACAAGTCAGCCCCAGCAGAAGAGTCACCTGCTGCCCCATCTCCAGAAATGAAGAGCTTTAATATTCAGACCACCCAGATGAAATGTCATGGCAAATTTCATAAAAACCAAGAGAGAGTGAAATTGACACTGGGGAGGGAAAGGGCAAGTCGAGGGAAGGTGAAACCAAAAGGCACTGAGCATGCTTGGTGGGGCAGGGAAGGACACCATCACTCCAGAAACAATATTGTAACAAAGGGACAGGAATGGTCCAGGCCAGCTTCAGGCTCTTCAGAAGCCAGAGAGATGTCTAAGTCCACCAAACCAAGTTCTCCACGGCTTTTCAAGAAACAGGACTTGCTTGCAAGATAAATGAGACAGGAGGGCCCATGGCTTCCAAGAGATCAACCCAAGTCCTCCAACACCTCACTGCCAAGTCCCACCTGGGTCCCCCAGAGCCCCAAAGCTCCCTGGCAGGTCTCCTTCTTGCCCTCATCACCCTGGAGCATTTGAAGGTGCTGGTCCCTGGTAAGGAGGCAGTGATGAGGACCCCTTCCAGAGCTGGGGAGGAGAGTGCACTGGGTTACAGAGCCAACAGAGTGGGGGAGTTCAAGGAGTCTGATGACTGGTCCCCGCTGCTACTGCTTCTGCGGTGAGCCTTGGAGCAGGACTCAGAGGGTGACGCGGGCGACTCCTGCTCCAGCACACTGGGGTAGGTGAAGACGAGGTTCGAGGTGCCTGGAGTGACAGCAGGTGTGGAGGTCACCACGATGGGAGTGTGGAGGGGCTCCTCCCCATAGAAGCCCCCAGCAATGCTGATGGGCTTGATGACAGAGCGCTGGGCCTTGTCCAGCCCTGCCGATGAGGACGAGGGACTGTCCTCTTCCAGGGGCTCCTGTTTCACCACCACAGCACCCACTGCACCACCCCCACTGCGCATGGGCTGCAGCCCAGGGGCTGGGGGCGATCGGCGCTCCTCGGGGCTGATCTTGCAAACAGGGCCATGGGCCACCAACATGAACTCCAGCTTTTCCTTCTCCTTCTGCAGCTCAGCGATCTCTTTCTGCAAGCCTGACTTCTCCTCCTCCAGTTCCTCCGTCTCCTGCAGGGGAAAGAGAGGGATATGAGGAACAGCTACCTGCCAGGGACCTGCTGTGAGGTGGTTCCAATGCAGACAGGAAGGGGAAAACAAGCGATTGTAAGCGGCCAGCTCACACACCTGGCCACAAACCCCAGTGGTTCTGAGTCACTTTGAGGCTCAAGATTCCTTTTATTTCAAAAGAAGGAAAGCAGGCTTGGAGGAGGAGTGCAATAACTGTAGCTGCCATAATTGAGCACCTACTTTGCGCCACTGTGTTAAGCATTTCATAGATTATCTTATTCAATCCTCCAGCAGTTTTGAAAGCAGATGTTATCATCAACCCATTTTTCAGATGAGGAAACTTAGGCTCAGAGTTTTGTAATTTGCCTAAAGCAGTGGTTCTCAACTTTCCTAATGCCGAAACCCTTTAATACAGTTCGTGTGGGTCGCGATGCACAGGTTGAGAACCTCTGGCCTAAAGTCACACAGCTAGAAGGTAGGGTAGCCTGGATTTAATTCCTAATGTATCTGCCTCCAGAGTTTTTGTCCTACTATGCCCTACTGGCTTGGTGGCCTGACCGCCCCGGGACCCCTGAAGGGTGGGTAATAGAGTTGTTCAGAGAATGCAGCCCCACCCATCTCTCCTTTTCTACCTCCTCAGCCCCAAGCCAGCTCACCTGTGGGTATACAAGTGCTAAACCCTAGGCTGCACCAAAGTGGAGATACAGTCAGCACCTAGCCCAGTGCCTGGCTTGTGATAAATGCTCAACCAATCCCTGCAGGATCATCACAGCCCCGCCTCCCCTTTTTCCTCTAATTTCTAGAGCACCTGTTTCAGGACTCCTGAAACCCTCAGAGAACATTCAGTTCAGCCACTGTGCTTGACAGAGGAATCTGATCGCTCGAGAGGACCTCTGAGAACACCAGGGTCACCCTGCAAGGACCTCAGCCCCTTTCTGTCACACAAAGCCAGAGAGGCAGGAGTGAGCTGATGCCCATGGAGGGAGCAGCGACAGGAGAGGAAGAGGTGTGTGTCCCCAGCCTCCTGCCTACTTTTTCCCTAACACAGACTCCTGTTCACAAATGAGGAGTTACAGGCAAGAGCTTCATTAAGCAGAGCACAGCATATTCCGGAGTGAAAAAAAGTTTCCATCTGTCTCAAGGGTCTGACAAACGTCATGAGCTTCTGAGAGGCTTCCTGTAGAGGATGTGGCTCAGGGTGGCTGGGTCAGGGGGCGGAGGAGGCAGGGGAGTAGGGTGTGAGGCTCCTGGGAGGAGGGGAGGAAAGCAGAGGCACCTCGGGGGCCAGGCTATTCTGGGGTTCCTTGAAGCGCCCACAGGATAAGGTTAGTGGTGGGGAGGGCTCTACGGAGGGAGTCTCCTGGCGAGTGCCGATTACTCACAGGCACACCTCACCTGACGGAGAGCTCCCACTCATCCTCCCTGGGACATTACTACGGACAGCACAGAATGCACGCAGTACACATTTGATACCCAACGGTGAGGGCTGTAGGAGGGACAAAGGGAAGCTTAAGCAGGTGGCTGGTACCTGGGAGGTTTACATAAAGTGATGGGGTGTTTTCCAAAGCCCCCATCCTGGCCAGTGATTGTGAGGACCACTGTCAGAGTCTTTCTCATCTCACTTTGGGAACATTTCACCTGGGAGACTGAGCCCTGGTTCTGGGTTTCCTCCACATGGCACATTGCCCTTCCTGTGAGTCTAGGCTCTGGAGGAAGTTACGCGCCACTCAAGCTTATGAGAGGGAAGGGCAAGGTCATGGGCAATTAGGCAGTATGGAGGAGTGACTCACAAGGATAGAATGAGGTCCCAGGACCACAGCTTCAGGCTCATGATAGAGGTAGGGAACCCTCCTGCCCCCAAAGGATATGAGAAAACCCCAAGGAAATACAATTCAGCTGGCACATGACCAATCTCCATCATGACAGCCTCCCCACATCCACTCGAACCAGAGTGTATAAGCCAGGCTGGGCCACTGCTGTTGTTAGTAGGCATAAGGGAGGCTGGGACCTCAGGAAGTAGACCTGGATGGGGCAGGTGTGGACCAACATCCACTACCATCCCTTGCCCAGGAGCCCCAGAAGTTCTGAGAGTAGAGAACACTCAGACACTGAATAAAAAAGGTGCTGGGGCCAAGAGTGTTGTCTAGGCTCTGGCTGGTGCCAAAGGTCAGCCACTTCCCTCTCTTTTTATTCAGCACAATGTCGAAGGGGTGTTCTATCTCCAATGACTCAACTGTAGGACACTCATTGGCAAGGACAGGCCTGGCCAGGGGCTATTGCTGTGCCCACCCAGAAGTGCTCCCACCCCACGCAGAGCTCCTCACCGCCTGCAGCTTCTCCGTCAGCTCCCGGCGTCGGTTCCGGCACTTGGCTGCAGCCAGCTTATTCCTCTCCCTCCGGATCCGACGCTTCTCCTCCTCTTCAGGAGACAGCTAAAGGCCAAGGTCAAGTATCATGATTAGAATAGGGTAAATGGTTAACAGCATTTTTTAAAAACTATATTTTAAATAAGGCAAGAAGCCCTTCTGGAATGGAGAGGGGAGGAAAGAATGCAATAGTGTAGCTGGATTCAGAGGTCCCAGCACACACAGCTCACTGATGTTTAGCTTCCTGGGAGCACTGAATCTGCCCTGGAAGGTAATGTCTGTGTTTAAAGGGAGAACAGAGCAGCAGTGGGTCGGGGATCCACTGGCTAGGCATGATGGCAGCCTTTGTCACGTCAGCCCCGATTCAGTGCCCAGGCCAGAGAGAAAGGTTGTGGATGTTTCCCCAAGAGAGTCCTCACCTGCCAGCCAGGCCTGGCCCCACCCACTTAAGCAGCTTCTTCCAAAGCCTGGCTAATTACTCCTCCCCACAGCTCTGCTTGCTCTGCAAGCCTCATTATCCCCATTTGGTTAAGCAGCTGGGCCCAAAGTCCTCACACAGGCAATAACCGCCCAGGGGGAAGTGCCACTCCACTTCCAACTTCCTCTGCCTACCCTGGAGTGAGAGCTGCGCACAGTTCAACACCAAGGACTCCCTGGCAAAGTACTAGGCTGGACAAGACGTGCGAGAGGAGGAGCAGCCCCGGCAAGTTAAATCCCCCTGCCCACCACATCCATTCTTTCAACACAGAGGACCTGCTTCTACAACCGGACGCTGTTTTAGGGGCTTGAGAGTTATCTGTGAACCAAACAAAGAATTATGCCCCTGCAAAGAGTTTGGGATCTAGCTCCTTCAATGAGGATGATTAGAGACTTGTCATTCACACCAGAGGGCAAAATCTCCACTGTACTAAGTACGGCCAATCCTCTGGTTACATATAGCCCTTCCAGAACTGCAGCCTGATGCTCCTCTCTGGCAGAGGTGACAGAAGGAAATGGCTGTGGGGCAATGCAAAGGCCATCCCATTCATTTATTAGACAATGACTACAAACCTACTACGTGCCCAGCGTTAGATTGGAGGCTTCGAAGATTCCAAGGGGAATAAGATCTTGGCCCACCCACAAGGGACACATGGGGGAAAAGCTAAAGCCACTGTTAGAGGAGGGGAGAAAAGCTGCCCCAAGAAGGGATGCTGCCTCAACTGCTGGCACTCCATGTCAGAAAGTGCCACTGTCCGGGTTGAATCCAGGTCAGAGTCCCAGGATGCTCCCTGAAGCCCCAGAGGTCTGTTGCTGTGATGTTCTGAATACCAAAGCAGGGCACAGCATCAGCAAGGACAATCCCATGGCTGTCCACACTGAAGTAACCTAGTGGCCTGGTTGAGGTCATGAAGCTAAGGCTCTAAATACTTGCTGCTCCTAAACCTGTCTTGACCTGAGCCCAACAGTTACCAAGAGAGCCTTGTGGCCTTGCTGCACTGTGAGGAGGATACTGGCCACTTGCTCCCACAGCTGATCACCACGAAAGACGCCTTAGGTCTAGCAAGCCCCCCGGTCCCTTATTGATGGGGGACAGATAAGAAGGAGGCTGGCCTTGGTCTACTTCAAGCCTCCTTTCCCTCTTGGCTGCTTCTAGACAACTTTTGGCTTCCTGATTGGCCTAGAAGTCTCTTTCCTATTTGTTCAGGTATGAGGTAACTTGTGGGAGCTGTCAATATAGGAAGTGTTCAGGGGTGGCGAGAGCAGCATGGTTACAGCTTAAATGTGTCAACGCCACCAGCATGTATCCACCCACACGCCACACACGCCCTCCCCTCCCCGCCTCCTCAGAGTCATGCCACTGGGCACACAGGTAGCCTCCCAGGCAGGGTCCAGAGGAGGGCTTGAGGCTGGCTCCTGGTAAGAGGCTCCTCCTTCAGGGGAGGTTGGGGAGGCGGAAGTGAGCTGGAGAAAGGACCCCCCAGGCTAGGAACCTGAATAGCTGTGGCTCTAGAATGCTACTGCCCAGGCTTCCTCAAAGCTGCCAGATGCCTGTCTGAATTCCCAACTGATGTGGGATAAAAAATGTTTCTTATTCTCTCCCTCCCTCTCAAAAAAGGAAGGAAATTCTCCAGACAGACTTAGAGCACGCCTAGGTGGTGTGGTGAGAGAACCACTGGGCTGAAGGTCAAAAGAGTTGAATTCCAGTCCTGGCTCTGCTACTCACTCACTGTGTGACCCTGGATAGGCCCCCTCACCTTTCTGGACCTCAGTTTCCTTATCTATAAAAAAATTGGTAGAGGGAAAATTAGAAAAGATGGTCTCCAAAGTCCCTTCCAGATGTAAACTTCTAAATGTGGCATGAGGTTAAGCCCAGAAGACAGTCAAGAGTGTTCAGGACATCTTGCTTGTCCTAGTAGCCTAGATGGTTACCTCAAAAGCCTGGGTCCCATTCAGGGATTGCTTATATCCTGGGAGAATCCAGCTCATCAGTGACTACAAAGCTCTGTCCCTTGGACTGCCTGGAGGACATTATGATCACAGCCACTGTAATATTTATAGCTACAATTACAGTAAGCAACTGTGAGGGGGATATTGGCCCCTGGAAGCCACTGTGAGCTCTATTACAGTGTCTATCAGACATACCTTGCCAAGTGGCCCTGCACTGTGGTCCCACCATCAAGAGAATAAACCAAGATGTAGTAGATTTGAACAGCTTTGTCCTCAGAGGAACAGGGATCCTGAGTTTCTTGGAGTGGTGATCCCTGTAATTCTAAGTATCCTGAGACTACTGGCACTAGATCCACCATTACCCACTGGAAATCATGTTTGGAAAGTCCTTAGATTGGAACATGGTGGCCCCTGGGGATCCCAGAGTAGAGATAGCGCATGGTTGAAATGGGAAAGGGTTCCAGCGCTGTCCCAGGAGTAGTTCATCAGGTTAACATTTCATTTGACAAGGGATTCTACTGCTAACGCGATTTCTCCTTCCTGGGGTCCCGTTGGCATATCCTTGTAAGAATAGCACTGTGTAGGGAATTCAGGGAACTGGGACCTAGTCCAGACTTCCCCACTCACTTGCCAAGTGACCCAAGGCAGGTGTGTCTGGGCCTTTGCTGCATCATCTGTGCAGAGGGACAGATGGTGCTCTTTGAAGGCCTCATTTCCTTCTTTCTGGGATTAAGTATAATTCTAATTTCTCCTTCTGAAACAAGGAGTCTGAGCACTTCCCAGGCTCACTGTGGATACAGGAGATGGGCCTTCTGAGCCTAAATAGCAGAGGCCCTGCCATTTCTGGTTCCCTTCCCATCCAGTTTAATTCTCTCTCAAAGATGAGCCCCTTGAAGAAAGAAGGGCTGATGTCCAGCCTTCCCTGCTCCCCCTCCCTGTCAGCTAACACAGCCAAACATATTCCTAAGGCCTCAGAGTCACTGTACTTCTGGAACATGCCTTCCCAGGCCCTTGAAATGGGCTCCTATTTTCAGTTGGAGGCCCGGGACACTGAGAAGTGGGAAGTCACGTGGGCAGTACTGCCGAGAGCCTGAGCCTCTCAGTCTGGCTATCCCACATGCTGGGAGACAGCTCAGGACTAATCCACAGAAGCTCACAGCCAGGGCTGAGTGGGCCCCTCTGCCAAGGACCAGCAAAGGATACTGCTGTCAGCTGGTCACAGCCGTCCTTCCCATTTGTTGATACTCTTCCACATATGACCTTACTCGAACAGCAACAAGTCCTGGCTAGTAGGAGGCACAATCCCCATTTTGTGGCTGAGAAAACTGAGACTCAGAGATTCCAAGGGATGTGAGTGAGACCTGCCTCTCAGTTCTCCTGCTCTGCCTCCAGTGATGAGGAAGATGTGTTCCTTGTTTCCCTCCCTCGTCTCCTCAGTGCTCTCAAAACATGAACCCTGCCCCCTACGAGTCTGCAGAAGAATATTCTGTGTTTCTGAGGCCCCAGAGGCTACCAGCACGGCTCCTTTCCATTGGTCCAAGCTATACCTGTTCATCTCTCCTCCTGCGGCCCACGGTGGTGCCAATGGTCTTGATCACACCAGGTCTTGGGAGAGCCATGTGTCCTGGGACAGAGGCCAGGCCCGGCAGGGGGCTGTAGGGGTGCGAGCGCGGGTACGGGTTGGACATGGAGGTGATCACTGTGGGCTGCACCATCCACTGCAGGTCCTGGCTGGTCGTGATGGCGTTGATGGTTGGGATGAAGGCACTGCCTGAGCCAGGCATATCTACCCGGAATTTCTGAAATGAGGAGAAAAATACAATTGAGCCAATAAATACTGAGTAGAATAGGATACTGAATAAATACTGAACAGAACAGAGGCAAATACCAGCAAAGAATAGAGTTGGTACATGGATAGCAAGGTCAGGGCTCCAGTGGGCTTCCCTGGATAAGTAGCAGGCAAGTCCTCCGCATCCAAGAATCAAGGAGGCCTTGGCTATTCCTGGGGCCTCACATCAGACCTGCCTCCCCAGGTAGCTCTGGGATGATGCTGTCATATCCCAAATGACTCTTAGGACAGGTGTGGGCCCTAGCCACTCACACTCAGCAGGCCCCCCCCCCTTCTTCAGGATGTGGCATCTAGGCCTCCTGAGCCTGTCACCTGCCAGCTATCTCCCAGGCTACTGGCTCAGGGCAACTTAAAGAGATCTGCATGCACACCAGCAGCTTTGGAGCAAAAATGATCCCCGAGATGCATACTGTGTCTGCTTTTGTCACTCCTCAAAGAGGTTCAGGATAGCGCTGAACCAGGGCAAGACCAGGTCCCCATCAGGGCAAGACCAGGTCCATAAGAAGGTGTTCTTCAGCCTATCAGACTAGAAAGTGGTGATATTAGCAGCCAGACTTCCTCTTGATTTCTTGTCCCTCCTCCTTTCCATTTATTGGCACCTTGCTTGGGGCAGACCCGCTGTGTCTCTATCTACATATCTATCTATGTTCAGCAGCTGACCCTGACCTTTCTCCAAGGTAGCTATTGGAAAATGAGAAATGGGGGAGAAAGGAAGAGCCTCCTACTTCCAGCTTTTTAGGGGAAAGCCCCTGTAACAGAACCCAGGTGAACCCTCATCCTCAGGGGACTACTGTATCCACAAAGATTCTCTAGTCCCTTCCCTAACCTGGTAGGTGAAATGACAAGGATAGTAACAATAGCTAACATTTACTGAGAGCTTACTAATTGGCAGATGCCTTGTTTAGCGTCTTAACCAGATTATGTCATTTATTCTCCCTCTAAGGTAAGAATAACCATTATCTGTACTGCAAAGGCGTAAATTTAGGCTTAATGGGATTAAGTAATTTATCCAAAACCACACTGCTGGATCGGGACTCAAACCCAGTTCAGCCCAAGAGGCCAGAGCTCTCAAGCACTTTGCCACACAAGCTTCTCTAGTTTTGCTTCTTTCTACCTCAAAATCCAGCCCTAAGTGTCAGTATCCGCCCCCATGCCCCTCAGACAGAGAGGCAGGTCATCCATGTCAAGGTTCCTACAGAACTTCCCTCTCACCACAAGGTCCCACCGGTCTGTCTGGTCCTAGATGAAGGCCACTATCATTGGCATGGATGCTATAGGATCCCACCTATTCTAGTCCAATCCAACCAACTAGGATTAGAAGTATTAACAGCAATGGAAGCGGCCACCACCACTGTCTTTGCCCAGTGACAACATCTGGGTTCCTGCTGTGCAAAAACAGCAAAGCTTAGAGTACATCACTGTAGCTGGCAGGGCTGGAGACCCTTCCTCACTGCCTCCCACCCCAGCCTCCCACCTGACCCCAGCCTGGGCACTCGAATGTGGCTGCCTCATCTCCCAGATTCCTCAAGGCCCCAGGCCACGGGCAGTGAAGAGAACTGCCCAGCCCAAGGGACTCTGGGCTTCTTTGAGGAAAGTTATCCAGTGGCGTGCATTCTGGAACTCTGGAGGAGAGCTTCCCAGGGCAATGGATTCTGGGCTTTTGTGAGAAAAGTTACCCAGAGGAACGAATTCTGGGATTCTGGGATTCTGGGATTCTGGGGTAAAGCTGCCCAGAGCAATAGCTTCTGAGTTGCGCCTCCAAGGGCAAAGACAGCTGAGCTTTTTATCAGGAGCTGACTGAAAAAAAAAGCAAGTGTGTACGTGCAAGGGCGGGTGCGTGTGAAGGGTGCAGCAAACAGGGAAGTGGGAAATGCTCTTCCAAGGAGATCTTCAAGGAGAAAAAATGGACGGCCAGGGCTGGGCTTTGCGGAGGCAGAGTACGTGAGTGCAGCAGGCAGGGCTGAGCGTACACAGAGGCACCAAGACGCAGACAATTGTTTTTCTCTTGGGCTGCTGGGTGGGATGGGCGGGAGTCAGCCCTGCACTGTGAGTTCAGAAGGCTTGGGCTGTGGCCGGGCTTAGCCACTAAGTGCTTTGCCCTGAGCAAATCACAGCAGACTCAATCCTGTGGATGTAAAGGGGAGCCCTAACCAAACTCTGCACTGTCACGAGGATTAAACAAATAGCTACTTGTAATCACAGGCTCTACGGCACACCAGTGGCTCTCAACCCTGGCTGCACATTAAAATATTTTCTACAAGCTGAGAAGCTTGTAAAAATAACACTGATGCCAGAGCCTCACCATTAGAGCGCTCAAATAATTAGTTTGGGGAGGGGCTCTGATGAACGTATTTTTTAAAAATTTCCAAGAAGATTCTAATGTGCAGCGAGGGTTGAGAAACACTGCTCTGAACAAATGGAAGGTGTTGTCGTCGCCACCCCCACCACCGCCATCAGCGGCAGCGCCTCCATCATTACATGTCTGTGTACTCTGCACAGGAGGCTTCTAGGAGAGCCGCCAGCCTCCCACTCCTGGGAAGCACCCAACGTTTTAATTATATTTCTCCCCAAGTCAGATCCCAGGTTTGACAAGCACCCGAGGCACCCAGTCCGATGGTTTCATGTGACCCTCGCCTCCATGGGGGAGCTGTCAGCTGTCCTTTCAGGAAAGCACCCAAGAAAGCTGCACCTCAATCCAACAAACCAAAGCGCTCCCTTTTAGGCTTGAGAAAGCAAGTACAAAAGCGAAAGAGAAGCTTGGAGACTTAATGCCTGTGGAAGAACACAAAAAAACAGAAAGAAAGATAGAAAGAAAAAAGGGCTGAGAAACTAAGATCCCTTTGGAGGAAGTGGATGACTTTCAGCCCTTCTCGTGCCCTCCAATCCTCCACTGTGGAAGGCAGGTCTGCAGAATGTGCTCCTGGCGTACACCAGCCAGATTCCTTGCAGCAATGGCTTGTTCTAGACAAAACAAGACAGCAATAAAAACCAGGCAGGAGGTAATGACTGCCTCTGAAACGCTTGTACACCTTGTTTCAGACAGGAGGTAAAGCCATCTGGATAATACACTGGCTCCAAACTGCAAGGAAAACAATGTCCCATCCCCAGAGGGGCCTGGGGCTCTGATAAAGGAGGCTTTTGTCTCCAAGAGGTGCCTCTCTGAGAGACACAAAAGTTTCGATTAGATCTGGCAGATGGGCCTTGTCTCAACTCTGAACCTGTTATTTAAAAAGCAATGCTGGGATAAGAGAGAAGAGGTAAAGTTAGGAGTTTGTGGTCCCAAAAGCTAGCCTGTTAGTCTTCTGTACCAAGACCCAGGAATTAGCCAATGTCACGTCCCTGGGACAAATCAAGGTTCTCTACCAATGAGTTAACGTTAAACAGAAACCAACATAGAGCTTCCCAGCTATGGGCCTTAGGGTAGTTTTCATTCTATTGTAGTACCAGGTGAGTGTGGGGAGTGAGGGGTCAGGAAGAGGTATCTCAGGACCTAACTTGGCTCCCCTCGGGCTCTGTAGCCCCCTGTGATGCTCCTCCTTTAGGATAGGACTAAAGATGCTGAGTGGCTATGTGGTTCCAGCCTGGCAAAGCCTCCAAATGCTTTATTTAACTGTGACTTCTGGGTGGGCAAGAATGCCTATAAAAGGACAAAGTGGTCTCCATCAACATCCTTGAGCAGAGTTTGGCAAACTTGTGCTATAAAGGGCCAGATAGCAAATAGTTTAGGCTTTGTAGGCCACACAGTCTCTGTGGAAACTCAACTCTGCCATTCTGGGTGAAGGCAGCCAGAGATAATATGTAAACAAACAGGCATGCCTGTATTCCATTAAACTTATTTACAAAAACACTTGGGCCACAGTTTGTCAATCCCTATCCCAGAGAATCATTCTCATCTCCCATGCTCAGGCTGGAGGGAAAAGAGTAAAGAGAGGATAAAAGAAAGCAAAACATCAGAACCGAGATATTCCTTTAACCCAGGGAGCCAAGGGGACAGGCTCCTGCTCATCAGATTGAATCTCAGACCCTGAGCCTAAGTTCAAGCCCTGACAAGCCTTTTTGTGGGTTTTTGAGCATGGCAACCCCATTACCCTGCAGCACCCATGGGGCTGCATAGTTCAAGTATGTGCGTGCTCCTCCCACTGCCAGTAAGAAAGACAGCTGAGAACACGGAGTCTCTTCGGCAACTTCAGGTCAGAGAAGTTCCTTAGCCCAGTAGCTGCTGATTTGGGAAAACTGTCTTTGGAAAGTCTAGAGCAGGGCTTTGGATTCATAAACGAGGGTCACCCCTTTTTGGAAGTAGGGTTTGGACCCCTAATTGCCACAGGACTAAATGGAGAAGACAAGTTTTATCCCAGAGACTCCTGACTGGGGCAGGACTGGTATCTGATATGGACATCAAGGGTGGTGCTCTTGGCCCATCCCCTCCATGAGATTGATTCTTGCCTGGGTCTCCAAACATGCAAGCTGTGCACCCCTCCAGACTCTGACCTGCCTCATCAGGTGAGCAGGTGTGACTGTGTGTGTCCAGGAAGACACTGGGTTCTTTCTCTTAAGATCCCCTTTGTCAGATTCCCAAGATGGGAAAAGGAAAATTCCAACAGCTCAGAAGATGGGCTCAGGAGAAGAGGACAAGCTAAGGACAAATGCCGCATCATTTAATAACCTTGCTGAAGTCCAGTTTAATGTAAATGTTCTATAAATTTCCTGAACTTGGGAAGGCCTCCAAAGCCTTCTATATGGAATTCAACCAGTGTTCACAGACTCTGTATTGAATGTCACCTTGACCTCTGACCTTTCATTCCTCTCTGAGGAAATGCCACTTATGTCACAATGGAAATTGTTGCTAATAACTCATGAATTCCCAGAGTATGACAGCATATAAATGCTATCTCAGGTGACTGGCCTCCTGTCACCCTCCACTCTACCTCCCTTACCTCACTGCCAGGGTAAAGAGAAGCAGGGAAGAAAAGAAAAAGCCAAGAAAATAAGACAAGTATCCCTCAAGGTCCCGGGTTTCTTGCCTCCAGGGCCCTTTGGGCCAAAAGCCCCACTCCAAAGCATCAGGGAATTCACTCTGCTAATTCCGTCGACCCTTTGGGACTCCCACCAATTCTTGGCAGCTCTGCCCTTAATGAGAAGGACCTGTCATCTTATCTTCCCTCCAAACCACAGGAAAGTAGCCCTAGTGTGGTCTCAGCGCCACATGACAGGGCTGAGAGACGGGTGGGTCAAGAGAAATCTTATATTTCCCATCTCCATCCCAGGGAGCGAAAGAGGGGTAGAATTACCAAATGGGGTTTGGTACAGATATATTTGTCTCCATCAGGGCAGCTGCCATCATTTTGAAATGCTGTGGCCACCAACACACACCACATACAACACGGATGAGACATATCCACAAAGTAATGATGCTATTTTTTTTCCTTTCTTTCAATGAATAGATCAGAAAGTTAGTTTCCTTGATTCTCAAAACCAGTATCTGTATTCCTGTTTAACAGAAGAAAAAAAATCTAAGGTGTTGATGGCACCAGTGTTAGCACGGAAGGCGCCTGCTCTGGTGTGCCTTGCTCATGGGGAAAGCTCTCCCAGGCAGGCTCCTGCTGTCAGTGGGACACAGGTTCATACTCTACGTCAGAGCCAGTTTGATCACCGAGACTTCATATGTCAGACTTGGTTCTAAAGATCTTTTGGTAATTTCCAAATAACAAATTCACCCTTCAAAGGACAAAGATTTGTTAATAGGGAGGGTTTTCAAAAGACTGTGCTGAAAGCAATTCCAAAAGAAGGATAGTGAAAAATCTTTCAGAGTCTGAGCAATTGCTACAGCATTCAAATAAGTTTTTAGTCTCCTCAAGGAAAAACAATGAAAGGATGACAGTGACTTAGATGTACACATTCTGGTGTGTTTATATAAAGAAAGAAAAGAGAAGACGTCTCCTAAATTTACACTCACCTTGAATAATAAGACAGGCAGAAATAAATTAATGGAAATGCACTCAGGGGTTTAGATAGGAAAATTCAACTGCCACTCAGACAATACATGACTGCTGTTTCACCCCACTCTCTTTGATGAAAACGTGAAGCTGACTTCCACCATCAAGAATCAGCGGAACAGACAAATTCTTGGGATAACATTTTGTTTGATCCTAATCTACAACATCTGTAAGATCAAGGCAAAAAAGAAAAAAAAAAAGCACCCAGACCCTTAATATATGCCTCCCACGTTCCCACCAATTGTGAACGACCCTCCTGCCCTCCTAATACAAACACATCAAGAAAACAAGCCCTGGGAATTTGAAAATGTCGTCAGGGCACCCTAATGGACAGACACGAAAATAGAGAAAGAAAGAAAGCACTCCTTTTTCAACCAGGTTTTATTTAGAACGAAATTTGTAAAAGAAACTCATTTTGAAGTCAAGAAGTTCCTAACTAACCACTGTTAAATATATGGCATTTATGTGTCCCTAATTTAAAAAGAAAGAAAGAAAAGAAATCCTAAGAATTCAGAAAACTGACCAAGTTAACACTCCCTGGGACTGGAAAAATACATTCCCAAGATAGTTTTTCTAAAAACGTCCCATAGGGGGCACTAAAGAGGTATGGTTGAGGCTGACTTGGGAATCACAGTCATTTCTGGTAAAAGTTCTTTGATGTGAGGAATGTCCCAGTCTGGTACAGTTGGCAAAAGTTCACTCTGGGGAATTTTGTGTGTGTGTGTGTGTGTGTGTGTGTGTGTTTGTCTTGGGAAAGGGTGGTTGAGGAAGAAGAGAGCTAGTCTGATATTCCTTAATTCTAAAAAGGAAATACCCCTCCATGATTTATTTTCACAAGTTATTGGAGAAACAGACAAATAGCAGCCTTGGAAAAGTTCTAGGTCTTGTTTTTGTTTTGTTTTTTCATTAAAAGGGGGCCCAGCTGATGAAAACAGGTTATGAAATGACCTATGTTTGTGTAACTGGATGGATTGCGTAATGTTCAGGCTCTGAAACCGTAAGCAGCCAGGCAGGGCATATATCTGGGAGGTATTTTCCTCAGAAAAGTTAGGAGAGAAAAAATGTCAACAACAACAACACAAAGAAAAACGC